CTGACTCTGTGGGACCATCCTGATACTTTTGGTGTTAGTTCTATTCTGGGATGGCTGTGGCCCCATCAACTACTAAGTTGGTATTTGTGGCATGTGAGTGATCAACTCTTTGCCTGGCAGCCCCAATGATGTGCTGCACCACCAGGATAGAACCCTGAGGTCCTTCCAGATAAATTCAAAGAGTCACTGTGTGCATAAAACTTTCAGTAAATCACGAGGGTCATCAGAAAAACTGCCTGTTTTATTTTTGCAGGTTTTTAAATCACTCGTCCTTAAAGGAACATGTATTCTTGGTATTTCCATTACTTTGTGCCACTTCTTGGGCGGGGTGGTGGTGGTAGGGGGGTGCGGGCATTTGCATCACTGAAGGGACCAAGGGAATGTAGGGGCTGAGCAGTGGGGGCCTTAAACATGATTCTGCAAGCATCTGGGGTGGGGGGAGTCAGGCAGAGGTACTATCTGACAAGGCATGTGAGGCCTTGTCATTAGTGACAAGGTTGGGTCTCTTGGGATGTAGTGCAAGGGAGAAATTTCTCCCTCCAGTTGATGTAGAATGAGCAGACTCAAGGGCCCAGACTGAGATTGGAGCTGAGGTGAGGTTACATTCTTAGCAGCTTAGCTCTTTTGTCTTCACTGGGTGGGGGAGGGGTCCAGGTTCTTGGCTCCAGAAAAAAGGGCTTACTAGCCCTCTTACCCAAGGAGGGATGGGTGGGAGGGGGCAAGTGACTAACCCAAACCATGTGTTGACATATGGAAATTGGCCGGGGTGGCCCAGCTCTGTGCTGTGCAATGGGACCTATCTAGAGTTCCCTCAGGAGGCCAATCTATACCAAAAGACAACCATTCTATTTCATAGAATCTTCTTAGATTTTTTTTGGTTGGAGTTTTTCTCCCTAATCCTGGGATACCCCTTATTGAAATTCTTTAATATAACCTGGAGAGGAGTTGTTTCTTTCCCCTGTGCAACTCCCATAGCGGTGCGTTTTTACCAGGCACCCTGCCATTACCATCCCAAGGATTTTCAAGTGCTCTTGGCGAGTCTGTATTAAACCCCACCAGAGCCCAAAATGTGCTAGCAGTGAATGAAGACCATTTGTTTTAACCTTATGAGGATCACCACCGGCCTGACATAGGACTCACACTAGTGTCAGTCTGCTAAGCACACTCTCACCACTCACTTGTGTACACAGAACCTCCCAACCTGTCCACACTGGAGACCTCCGTGGTTTCTCGTGGCCCTCTGCACAAGTATGTAGGTCGGTGGTCGGGAGTGAATGGACTCTCCCCTTCTGGTCATAGGAACAAGTTGAACCTTGGGGCCATACCTTAACACAGTTCAGAAGATCAGGATTAGCTTTAATTCACCACTTGGTTCCTTCAGGAATGGGGGTCCATGGCAGGTCTCCACCCTGGAGGAAAGGATCCATACAGCAAGAAATCCCACTGGTGCGCTCAGAGATGGATGCCTCTGAGATGAGGGCCCACGGGATGCCCACAGCTCGGGCAGAAACAGGTCTGTGGCTGGTCCTTCAAGCACAGAGAAGGGCAAGTTTCCTGGCCAATACCAGAAGTTGTGCTGAAGGATTTTCCAATGGTAACAATAAAAGGAAGAACTTTATTGTAGTGACATATGGCTCAGAAGATTTGTATCCAGAAACTGTGCCCCTTCGGAGAGCATTTTATCATGAAGGGGAGTGGATTCACGGGATGGTCTGTGGTTGGTCAAGTGAGCCACAAGCAAGATCATACAATAGCAGAAGCAAGCAATTACACAGAGCTGTGGGGAGTGAGTGCTGGCAAGCAGATTACAGAAGACGAGTGGGGTGTTGAAGGTCGCTGAGGGCTCTCCACATTCCACAGATTTATCTCTGCACTAGTGCTTTGTCTTTGCCCCAATATGAATTGATTCTGAACTCACACTTAAACTCAGGAACAATCTGTTTTTATGATAGCCTTGCTCGATACTTACCGTCACGAAGGGTCCACTGAAAATAGAAGCGCTAAAGCAGTTGGTAAAGAAAACAGATGATGCCTGGCTATCAGAAAAAACAATGTCTGGGGTCTTTAAAACTTGCTTTATAACACGCAGCCATCTTAAGTGAGGCCATCTAAGCCCATGTGGAAGAAGCACACTCACCTGTATGAGCTAAATTGCCATTCAATTGGTGCTGACATGAAGCGACCCTTTAAGACAGGACAGAACTGCTCCAGTGAGTATATGAGACTGCGCATGTTTATGGGAGTAGAAAGCCCCATCTTCCTTCCAAGGACCAGCTGGTTTTCAGACTGCAGACCTGGCAGATCATAGCCCAACACATAACCACTTTGCCATTAGGACTCCTTATGTGAGCCAAGGATTACTGTGTGTGATAAAATCCAGTATCAGAAGAGGAAATTACATATACATGCATATGTATGTGTAATTTTACTGGGGGCTCATGCAAATCTTATCACAATCCATACATCCATCCATTGTGTCAAGCACATTTGTTGCCATGATCATTCTCAAAACATTTGCTTCCTACTTCAATTCTGAGCACCCGGTTTACAGAAGACTGGAAGAAGTGAAAGCCCAGATTTGCATAGTCCCCATGGGTTAATTCTTCATTGAAATCCCTTGGACCATTGATCCTGGATATTAGAAACCTTCCTTGCCCTTAGGAGGGTATCAGAAAGTGAGTTAATGCAGGTATAGACCCTGCCTTCAGTTCTAACTCAGAGGGACCATATAAGACAGGGTAGAAGTGTCCTTGTGGGTTTCCAAGACCAGCTCTTTACTGGAGTAGGAAACCTCACCTTTCTTCTGCGGGGCACCTAGTGGTTTTGAACTGTTGACCTAGTGGTTAGCAGCCCAACTCGACCAATAGGCCATCAGGGTTAGGTTAAATTTTAACATTCTACTATTCCCTTTGAGCACATTTTTAATTTGATCTAGTTCTTATTTGCTGATTTCTTGTGGATTGAAGATTTTCTGTGTTTGATTATTGTTGATGTGTGTTGATGAGTTTTAGGATAGCAAATCTATAGAAACAATAAGTAGATTATTAGTTTCTTTGAGTTATAACAGAAGTTGGGGGAAATGGGGAGATAGTAACCATAAGTACAAAAGTGAGGAAAATGTTCTAGAATTGATTTTGGTAATGATTGTATAAATCTTTAATATATTTAAACCATTGAATTGTGTGGTGCATAAATTATATGTCAATAAGACTATTTAAAAATACCTTCTGATAAAGTTTAATGATTTTTTTCCCATCAAAGATTTGTATAACTTGCTTTATGCTTATTCCTAGTATATTTAATTTTGATAGTATTGTGAATGATAACTCTTCAAAATTAAATTTCATTAGTTTTATGTAGAAATGCTGATTGCTTTTGTTTTCCAGCAAGTTTGCTAAATATTCTTTTTTTTAAATCATTTTATTAGGGGTTCATGCAACTCTTATCACAATCCAAACATAAATCCATTGTGTCAAGCACAGTTGTACATTTGTTACCATCATCATTCTCAAAACATTTTCTTTCTACTTGAGGCCATGGTATCAGCTCCTCATTTCCACCCCCATCCTTGGCTTTCTCCCTCATGAACCCTTGATAATTTATAATTATTATTTTGTCATGTCTTACACTGTTCGACATCTCCCTTCACCCATTTTGCTGTTGTCTGTCCCCCAGGGAGGGGTTATATGTAGATCTTGTGATCGGTCCCCCCTCTCTCCCCTGAACTTCCCCTTACCCTCCTGGTATCGCCACTCTCATTATTGGTCCTGAGGGATTTATCTGTCCTGATTCCCTGTTTCCATTTCTTATCTGTACCAATGTACATCCTCTGGGCTAGCCATATTTGTAAGGTAGAATTTGGGATCATGGTCATGGGCAGTGAGGAAGCATTAGAGAACTAGAGAAAAGTTGTATGTTTCATCATTGCTATACTGCACCCTGACAGCTCAGTTAAATTGTCTTTTTTAAACAAATAATTTTTCTATAGATTTTTAGTTTTCTATATTATCTGTGAATGACTTTTTTTCTTTTCCGATCTTTTTACTTTTATATATTTTTGTCTTATTGAATTAATAGTTTTCCCTTAATTTGCTAAGAGGCTTATCACGTATGGAATTTTGACTGCTTTTTCTATATAAAGATTTTTATAATTCTATAAATATTTATGTGATTAATTACATTGATCATTTTTCTGAAATTAACTCATTTGTATAACTAGGATAAATTCATGTTTCCCTGTGATGTATTAACTTTTTTACGGATTGCTGGGCATAGTGGTTAAAATGTTTTTAGGGCTTTTGCATTTATGTTAATAAATGAACTTGGCCTAAAGATTCCTTTCTGAAACTATTCTTGTCTAATTTTGTTTTTGAGCTTATGGTAGCCATGAAGGAGGGAGGTAAACATGAGGGGAGAGTGTCTTCCACTTTTTCTTTACTCTGTGTCTCTTAGCTGTTTGTCAGGACTTCACTTTAAAGTCATCCGGGCTTAGTGTTTTCTGTGAACAACTTGTAAACAGCTGATGACGTCTTTGTAATAGTCTTTGCATGTTAGATTTTCTCTCTATCTCCGAGTCAGCTTTGGCAAGTTGACTTTTCTAGGAATTCATTCTTAGCTATGTTTTCATTTTATTGTTATAAAATTGTTTGATGCATCCATTTTTCAGTTCCAGTTTAAACCATTTTGCCAAAAGTTTATCTCTTTTAATTTTATTATTGTTCGTGGATCATTCCAAAGACATAACTTTGCGTTTTATTTACCCTTTTTAATTTATTTGATTACTAGACCTATTTTGTTCTTATAATATTCTTTCTTGTGTGGGATTTATTTTTTTAATTTTATAGTTTTAAAGACTGTAAACCTTATATTTGACTTTTAATGACATAAAATGTATTATTTTTCTAAATGCTTCTAATGACCTTTAAATTAAAAAGAACTTTGAGTATATTCGTATGCATTTTACCAGAAATCCCTAAATCAAAGAAATGTAACCCATTTAGGCACGCGGAATAAAAGATGCTACAGAAATCATCTTTGAGATGTCAAAAGACGAAAGAAAGGATTTCTACAGGACTATAGCATGGGGTCTGAACCGGCCTTTGTTTGCAGTTTATAGAAGAGTGCTTCGCATGTATGATGACAGAAACCATGTGGGAAAGTATGAAATATTGTAATGCTGCATGCTCTCGTGTAATTAGGGGAATATTGTATAGGACTGTCCTTGTTTTCAGTGGAGGTGTGAGTTAGGCTTTAGAGTCTATACCTGTTGGAGCAAGGTTAATATTTTTATCTTTTTTTTTTTTTTTAATTGTGGCTTTTAAGTCACATTGTGAATCTGTTACCCCACCATACTAAGACCTTCTTTAAAACTTTTAACTCTAAACTTCCTTATATAGGTTAGGTTTAAGACCTAGCTTATTTAAAAATTCAAGGTCCATTTTGTAGTAAAGTAGCATATAAAGTATAGTTATAGGTAAGACTTGGGAAGTATGAAAAGAATGTTTATTGTAACATTTCATCTTTGTTTTTATATAGAGCATTTCTTAGGCCAGGAACTTTTTTTTATAATATCAGAGTGGAAAAAAATACATTTCTTTAAATAACACTTGAAATTCTGTTAAAGAGGTAGGATTTATGGAAAGATATCATTAATATTCTATAGTAATACATGGCATTATTGAATATTCCTAATTCCTTGTTTTGAACTTTAGTTGTCAGGTTACTTACTGGTCCTGCTTTTCCTCTAAATCATAATGGTTCTCAACCTGTGGGTCGCAACCCTTTTGGGAGTGGAATGACTCTTTCACAGGGGCAGCCAGATTCATAACATTAGCAAAATTACAGTGATGAAGTAGCAATGAAAATAATTTTATGGTTGGGGAGTCACCACCACATGAGGAACTGTGTTAAAGGGTCGCAGTATGAGGAAGGTTGAGAACCACTGCTCTAACTGTTCAGCTTGCTAAAGGAGTGGACATTTAAAAGCTGAAGGGAATTAACTTGTTTTTATAGCAGTGTATAATACGGAATGAAGGAAAAAGGAGCATTGCAAGGCTATTTCATTGACTACATTGAGTTCTTTCTAGGAAAAGAGCCTCTAAGTTAGAGCAAGAATCTGTCAGAAGACCATGTATGGTAGAGAAAGTGACTACAAATACAAAATTTTTTTAGATCTTTGAGAGAATTTGCCAGAGGAGATTTACTTTTTAGCGTTAGCATCCAATATCTCCCAGAACACTTTCGGAAAAGCTCTGCATTTAAAGTGCTTTAAGCTAATTTGGAAATGAAAGAAGAGTTAGGTCACAGAAAAGCAGATGTTTGTTTTAAATGTTGATTTTCTTCTGGAGAAAATTATGCAGTGCCTACCTTTTTCAAAGGTGCTCTGGTGGCATAGTGGGTTATACGTCAAAGCCACCAGTGAGAGGAAGACGAGGCTTTCCCGTAATGATTTGCAATCTCAGAAAACCCACAGGACCAATTTTAAATTTTACCCTCTCCTATAGGATCGCTATGAGTTGAAATCAACTTACTGGCTGAGCTTGGTTTACCTTTAAAATGACTAAATGTGTCAGCCTTTAAAAAAAAGTAGAAGCTTCCATTATACGAATCCATATTAAAAATTACTTGGCTACCTTAAAAATATCAGTTTGCTGTGTGGGTTAACTTTTGGCTTTCTAAATACTGATTTTTGTGAAATTCTAAGCTTTTCTTTTTCTAATTTGTATTTTTTAATTTTTCTCTAAATTTCTAGGTATACCCCTGAAGAAATTGAAAAGCTCAAAGAGTAAGTTTAAATGGTTCTCTTGAACTCTTGGGGGGTTTTTTGTTTTGTTTTTTAATGGCTTCTATCTTTTTAAAATTTTACTTTGAAAATTTCAAGGATTGGTATGATTTAATTCTATTTATTAACATTGACTTTCTATCATAGCCATTGCATCATGCATAAATTTAGCCCCCTCTTGCCATTTCCAAATTATTCCTTAAATGCCTAAAAGGGGTTTCAGAAAAGATGAAATGGTCACTTGGAGTGGCCTGAAAACCAAGCCAAACAAAGCTGTTTAGCTTGGTGTAGTTTAGAGTGGTGACTTAGTAACTGTTTCACTGAGTATCTGGCAGAGTTACCGCCTTGTATAGGCTCTTGAATCTTCAGAGATCTTATTTTGCTTTAATGGATTAGATGGATGGAGGGGAAATTGAAAGTAGATCCTATTATAAGGATGTATTTAAAACTTGATGTCTGAAGAATTTGTTAGGGATGTGCTCAAATGGGAAAGATTTGGGGCTTGCCTGGGAGATTAGTGACAATAACCTGAGGGGAAATTTGGTCTTTTTTGAACACATATCCAAGTTATTTATTTCTTCTCTGACCCAGGAAAAAGGCAATTGCTGCCTGTTTTTTTTCACCCACAGACAACTGTGGACCCCAAAAAAAGGCCACACTTTCAAACTTTGGCTCTCAAAGTATTGCTGCCCACAACTTCCAAAGCAGTCAAATGGGAAGAAGAAGAATGAAGAATAAGTGGTGAAATTAGAAGGGAGAAAACAATTGAACCAATGCTGATGGGCAGACTCTTGTTTTAGGCTCCGGATAAGGCATGGCAATGACTGGGCAACAATAGGGGCGGCGCTAGGAAGAAGTGCTTCTTCGGTCAAAGATCGTTGCCGACTGATGAAGGACACTTGCAACACAGGTATGGTGACTACGCCTTCTGGCATGTTCTTATCAGTGCTTTAGCCTCCTGCCCACTTAGAGAGGTACTTCTCTGTACAAAGAATCTGTTACTTTTTGAGTCATACTTTTTTTTGAAACTTAATAGACCCAGCCAATCTTTTATTTTGTCTCCTGCTTTTGCAGAAGATGACATTGTTTACAGGACACAAAGATTGAGAGCTAGCATTTTTTTCATTTTTATAGCAGTTCAAAATTATTTCATTTGGGAAAATTACTTATATTTAAGGCACACTTAGAGAAAGAAATTTAAAGAAAAGCGAGAAAGTAATTTAACAGGCTAACTTGATGAGTTTGCCAACATGCATGCTAAGTGAAAAACTTAATTCTAGGCAGGACTAAATTTTGAAAGAAATTATGTTCCAAAGGCTTATATGTGTGTTTTGCTTATTCCAATCTCAGTATCTTTTTATATAGAACAAATATTACGGTTGCTGTTTCTGTCCCTAGGGCAAACCACGCACTATCTTTCTCTTATATGTACATAAATGTACTGGTCATCTATCCATGTTTGTTATTTCAGTAAGGAAATGAACTCTCCGGTTGTTTAGGCTTCACAGGGAATATATTTTGTACCTCTCTGCTCTACCTTAGGACTGTTTCTTGCTTAATCCTTCCACCTGCAAGAGCCTAAGAATAAATTTCAAGTCAGTCATTCTGTGGCATGGCCAGCTGAATGAATGAAATGAGAGCTTTTAAATTAAGATGAACCTGAAGGCTTGTGTAAGATGTTCTCTGAGTACAGAACTCATTAATATAGTTTGGAAAGATGTTGCGCCAATTCCCCATGGCCAACTTGAGTAATAAATTGCCTGCTTCCTTTCAATATTGCTACATATTTTTTGCTTCTGAAAATGAGTTCTTTCCTGGGTGCCACAACCTGAAATAGCAGTTCCAGAATTTTCCCTTCCTTTCATACCCTGCTAAGAAAGCAGAACTTTGTTTTGAGTCCTAAGGACTTATTTAAGTCCTAAGGACAAATTTACTTTAGCACATCGTAGACATCTGCCAATTTGTTAAATTGATGAATTCCTGAAAACAAGCACATACTCTTGTCAAGTTTTCTAGAAGTTTTCGGCTACCAGTAATATACTGGAATGGCAAAGATAAAAAAAGATTTTTTTTAGCTCAACATAAAAAAGAAAAGAGCTTTTTTGTTTCTATTGGTGGGATTGTAGGTATCAAAAAAGGCTTGGTATAAAAATGGATTCCAGTCTGATAATTGACTGTTATTCTGTCAGATAATGTGACTTGGAATTGAGATAATGGAAAAGAAGATGGCATACACCTCTTATTTATTAAGATGGCATACACCTCTTATTTATTAAGATGGCATATACCTCCCTCTACCATGGGAGCCCAAATGTGTTACTCATGTTCCCTCGTTCACTGTAGCTGTTTATGAATAAAGGTCTTCATGTAATGGCAATAGTATACAATTCTTTCCAGTTATAGGTGTTTTTCTTTCCTTAAAGGAGTCTATCAGTGCTCACTATTAGGATTTTTTTTTTTTTAATACTAAAAACCTTCCTAGGCAGTGAAATGTAGTTGTCACTGTAGAGCTGCATGGTTTCCAAACAGTCATTAAAAAACAAACTCAGTACTACTGTGTGTGACCTACGAATTCTTGGAAAAGTAGAGCCGACTGTCATTTGCAAAAGAAGGTAGCATTGGTAGTCTGGATGATTTCTTTCTTTCAGGAAAGTGGACAGAAGAAGAAGAAAAGAGGCTTACAGAGGTGGTTCATGAATTGACCAGCACTGAGCCAGGTGACATAGTCACACAGGGTGTGTCTTGGGCAGCTGTGGCTGAACGAGTTGGTACCCGCTCAGAAAAGCAGTGTCGTTCCAAATGGCTCAACTACCTGAACTGGAAACAGAGTGGGGGTACTGAGTGGACCAAGGAAGATGAAATAAATCTCATCCTCAGGTTTGTGTCCTACATATTTAATGACAAAAGCCGCTAATCGCTGGGGATATGTTGGTTGACTCCCTCTTTGTGCTCTCTAGATCCTTACGGTCTGAAAAACATCCTTTCATAGAAAGCCACTGTGTAAGATCCTAACTATTTCATATTGAGCTCTTTATGTTTTGTGTTTGTTCCTTTTTAGTGGATTTAGTGCACGTCCAAAGTACCAGATTGAAGGCGTGGAGACTGAAGTCCTCTCTATATCCACAGAACAGGTATGGCACAGGCAGCGGCAGTGCAGCTTGTCCACTGTCCCACCATGTGCCTCAGTCCTCGTCTAGAGGGAACGTGCTTAGGGTAAGAGGGTTATTCGGTCTCCATGTTCTTCAATCTGTGACTTCTGTGCTAAGACTTCTAAGAAGTGGGTTGAGTTTATAGTTATTCTACCCTTTCAAACTAACCCAATATATTTCCATTTCATACAAATACAAAAAGTGTTTTTAAGACAAAAAAATGTTTTTTCCTACAACAGATTTATTGGCATATATAATTGATACAATTCAGTGGTTAAAAAATAATAGCATGAGTTCTGCAATCATCACCACAATCAACTTTAAAACACAGCTTTTAAAAATTAGTTGCTTTATCCATTAAAATTCAGTGACTCAGATGGGCATAAACACCAGCAAGAAATTATTTCGGACACCAAATAGCAGCTTATTGTAGCTACTCTCAGAAAGTCATGTCATCATGACCGTCAGACTAGAAAGAAGTTGGCTTTTAGAACCCAAGATTTTTGTTGTACTTTTGAACTGGCTGTTGTGGTTGCTGCTGGGGATTGAGTTTTCCTTTTTTATTTTGGCCTGAATGTTATTGTTAACTTGGTATGCTTCAACTAGTCATCTTTATAAATAGCACACTTCTCAGTATGCTTGATCATTTTACAAATGAAAAAGCTTAGTTCTGGAAGTAGCTGACTTCACGAAGGCCACACTATGAAACGCCACAAACACTGCGACTAAATCTCGTCTTAGCCTATGCTAATCTTCAGCTCTGTTCCTTTCCTTCAGTGTTTCACCGGAGTTTAACTATTTACAGATCAGCCCATTGGCTGCATCTTTAATAAATGGCAGTGTTGTTTCTGTTTTTCAACTCTTATCGGTGGAAGCAAGTCTTCACTCCTAGAATCCTTTCACATGCAGCGTAACATCTCATTGTTATAACCTGCCAATTCCCTTTACATCAGTGCCATTATCTGTAGTCAGAGGAGGGATATTATGGTGACATAAGTCAACATCTAACAGGTGCTGCCTTATAACTCGTAGGATAGCAGAGCTTGATGTAGCCGACGAGAATGACATAAACTGGGACCTCCTAGCTGAGGGATGGAGCAGTGTCCGTTCACCACAGTGGCTTCGAAGTAAATGGTGGACCATCAAAAGACAGATTGCAAACCACAAGGATGTTTCATTCCCTGGTAATGTATTGTCTGCTTTTTAACACCTTTCCTTCCTTAGCATATTCCTTTTTCAGGAGTTAGATGTTAGAAGTTATTTACCTGAGCTAATGAGATATTGTAGCGATTTCCCCTTAAACATCTGTCCTATTTTCTTCCCTAGAGAAGAAAAGGATTAGTAATTCCAAAGCTCCTAATATAAAAATACATTCTTATGTTCCCACATAACTTTGATAAAGTATAAAGAAACAGCTTTACATATATTGTGTTTTCTGAAAACTATAAAGTAACTTCATCTAATAAAAGTTAAGGAAATTCAGTGGTGACTTATAAGGGGGTTCAGAAAGTTCCATTACCTTTTAGTCTTATTTTTCCATGAACTATTGGAAGCAAACCCTCTCATAGTTTTTAGACAGATTCCATAAATTCTTGGTTCTATGTGGTATGTGTTAATCCAGAGACCCTACATCAGAAATGCTTAAATTGGGGCATAGCTCTTAGCTAGATAAAATGTCCTTTTTAAAGAAACATTGTTTATAAATGTATACCTGACATGAAATCTGAAGAGTACTACTGTAACAGGAACCTTCAAGGTTGCAGCATCAACAGAGGATTAATTAGTAGCAGCCTAGGACGAAGTCTCCCCACTAAGAACTTTGTGTAGTTGAAGTCCATTATCAGCTGTTATCTCTGGAGTTGAGTAGATCCACCACCACCTGAATAAGCAACTTTGAATTGCTGGTATTGTTGTGAAATAATTTTTTTCAAGAAGCTTAAATTCACAGCTTTTGAGTCGATTCTGATTCATAGGACCCCTAAATGACAGAGTAGAACTGCTCCTTTGGGCTTCCAAGACCATATGGTTTTATGGGAGAAGAGAGCATCATTTTTTGGTGGGGCTACTGGTGGGTTTAAACTGCTGACCTGTTAGCAGCCTGGCACTTCCCTTATCCCACCACCATGGCTATCTCAAGCCACTTAGGATGTAAGTAATGTACAATGTCTTTTTCCCCCATGCCTTACAAATCTTGAGATAGTGAACACAATAACATCTTTATTTTTTAAATGTTCTGATTGGTAATACCTCCAAGAAGTTCAGTGCAAGCAGTGACTTCAAATTATTTAAATTACTTTGATAGTATATCCATTGTACAATTATTTATTCCAAGTAGCTTCCTCTTCATCCCCCACCTCCCTTGCTGCTTAGATGGTGGTCTGTCAGACAGTCATTGTTTTTTTTCTACCCATCTCCCTTCAGTCTTAATAAAAGGTCTTAAACAGTTACATGAGAACCAAAAAAACAACCCAACACTGTTGGAGAATAAATCAGGATCTGGAGTTCCAAACAGTAATTCCAACTCCAGTGTACAGCATGTTCAGATCAGAGTCGCCCGCTTGGATGAAAACACAGCTCTCTCTCCAAGCCCTATGACAGCACTGCAGATTCCAGTCCAGATCACCCATGTTTGTAAGTGTCTGAACCTCAAGACTCCTTGCTGTTTATTAATATAAAGCCTATATTGTTTTGTTGACAACCCTGGCACTTTTTCTCCGCTTAGAATGCTGATAGAAGATTTGATCAAAGTTTATATGAGTTAGAGGAGATCTGCAGAGTCTGTTAGGTTTGGCTCAATTAATATTTGCCCAAAGGACGGGCCATAGGAAGGACTCTTATGCAATTGCCCAGCCATCTTACTTTCTAGGTCAGTATATTTTATAAAGTGCCAGGGCATTTATATTAATTCACCAAAAAATTCTCAATATGAGATGTTATGTAGAGCTGCATGGATTTGATTGAGGTATAAAACTTTCTTTTAAAAAGTTGTAAAAGTTGTTTCCTAGCAGTTTCCTAGCAGAAACTGCCACTACCCCCTCCGTTTTCCTTAACCTCTAGCATTTTTGTGCTTAATAAGGTTACGAGAACCTAGCATCATCCATGAGTATACCAATCATGATTTTACTTCCAATCTGGGCATTACTGGCATTTGGGGCAGAATTGTTTCCCCTCTCCCCCAGACTTTGTGAATTAGGTGTGGTTTTTACACATCAGATCATTGTTTTTGCATTCAAACCTCCCCATGGTTTTTCCTGTCCCGTTCACCAAAGTTCACACCTGTCTACTCTGGAGCCCCTTTCTTCCCTTCCCCTCGTCCCGGTAACCATCAAATTTCTAAGGCAGTGTTCTTATCCTTCACATTTTACAATGTTCATAGTCCCTTGACCTTGCTTGCAAAATGCCAGTAGTACTCTTAGTCATTATGTCAACAGAAAGGCCCCATACATGTTCAAATGTACCCTGTGACATACTACTTGCTGCCTCTCATTGAGACTCTGATCCATCTATTGTACGTATGTACATACAGTACGTATGTCTGTATATACAATTGTTTCCAAAGTAGTACCTTAGAGACATTTAAATTAATTGTGCCTTACTTACATTTCTGCAACTAAACTTTAGTATACATAGTCAAGTGTGAAGAATTACAAAGCAACTGAAATACATGAGCTATTCTTTGCTGTGAGCTGATTGTACATTGGAGACAGTCTTCCTTGGCTATGAGGCAACAATCCGGTTGGACAGACAGCAATCATTTTATAAACAGTACCATATTATTCACAAAAGAGTAAGTTTTAGAACACACCCATTAATTCTGACTAAAATTTCTTAACTGCAACTTCTGTTAGGTCTCTGCCATTGAGTCGATGCAGAGTCATGGGACCTTGTAGGACAGGGTAGAATACCCCTGCAAGTTCTTTTAAAATATAATCAAGTGACAGCAAACACAATTTATCTCAATAGTTTACTTCGGGTACCACTGAAAGTACCAAGAGAGTTCAGATTTCTTAGTTCTGAACAACCTTGAGGAGCCTGATCAAGTCTAAGGTTTAGTTGATCCAAAAGACTTCCCATGTAATCACTAAGGTGATGTTCAATTTCCCAAATAGGGTTTTTTAATATTTGATGTGTGCTAAATATTTTTATTAGGTTTTGGGGGTTTTTTGCACTAAATGTTTTTTGAAGCACATTTGAAGTAAGGTAGGTAGAAAAGATAAAATTTACAAGTGTTAACTTATAACGCTTATTACATTGTTGGTTTAGTGATGTAGCTGGAACTCAAGCCTAGTATTTAGGTACTTGCAAACCAGGCATCAATATTGAGAATGTCCAGGAAAACTTGTTTATCATATTTCTACCTCTTTATTGGTTAATGGGGTTTTAAAAATTATTCATGGAATTATTTTTAATTTTGGCAAAAATGTACCCAACAAAACATTCTCTGGTTCAGCAGCTTCCACTTGTATAATTCAGTGCCATTGATTATACTCGTGTTTTACAATCATTGTTGATATCCTTTTCCAAATTATTCCACCACCATTTAACCTAAATTCAATGTCCCCTAAGCAACAACTCTTCCTTCTTCACCCATGATAGCCATTGGTCAAGTTTGCTTTTTTAAAGTTTTCTTGATATAATAGTCACATGTCATATACTTCCATAGTTATATGCATGTACATCATCACAATCTGTTCGTATGCTCCCTCCCCACATTGTTTGCTCACGCTCCCCACCCCACATGCCCAACACACCATTGCATTGTCTCTATCTTCATAGGTTCTTCTTACCATGTACCTCTGAATTCATCATGTTAGAAAGATGTTTTGAACTAGAACCAGGGTTGGCGAATCTTTTCTGTAAGGGGTCAGAGTCTTCTAATTAGTTTAGCATTGTCTTAAAACTTAGGAGTTTCACCATTACAGTGTGAAAGCAGCAATGGAAAGTACATAATGGTTGTGGCCCATTCCTCTAATACTTAAAAAAAAACAAAACAGGCAGTGGATTGCACTTAGCTTGCGGGGCTATATACAGGCCTCTCTGATCGATATCCCAAGTAAATTCATTTGTTTTCCCATCACTATGGATCTTAAAAAGCTTAAAGGAGTTTTTATGTTTCTAGGCAAATTATTCAATATGAGATGGCCCTTCATGATAAATCTAGGTTTCCACACTGGAAATTTTAATTTGCAAAATTTCTTATTTCTCCTTACTATAGCTTCAACAGACTCTCCTGCTGCTACTGTTGACTCTGAAACCATAACACTAAACAGTGGAACACTACAGACATTTGAGATTCTTCCAGTGAGTAATGAACACTACATGAAATTGATTTTGGTCATTTTTATGCATAAGGAAGATCAGTTGAATTTGAAGTGAGTCTGTTATAATCTCTCTTTACCTACCTATAAATCAATGGTACACTCTCTTTATGATGTGTAGTATGACACTGTAGGTTAGATATTGGGCTGCTAACCATAAGATTAGCTATTGAGACCCACCAGCCACTCCAAGGGAAAAGATGCGCTTGTCCACTTCCAAAACCCTGTGTCTTACTTAGGTCAGCGGTCTCAACCTCTGAGTCGCCCCATTCATAAAAGTACCAAAATTACAGTTTATGAAGTAGCAGTGAAAATAATTTTATGGTTGGGAGGTCACAACATGAGGAACTGGATTAAAGGATCATGTCATTAGGAAGGTTGAAAACCACTGTCTTAGGTCATTATGATTCAGAATTGACTTGATGACAATAGGTTTAGTTTTAATTGCAGGATAAACACTATAGCTACTATAGATTTGTTGAGCCGTAGCAAAATAGAGCCAAGTTATGGGAAAAATTTTTTCATGTCATGCTACTCAAGTAATCAAACAGTTTTCTTTCAAGTGTAATATGCCACCTACAAGGGGGATACAAAATTTTAAGTCTCCATCCTATCAAGTATAGCCAAATTGACAGAGTAGCCTGGAAGACCCTTAAAGGTTTTAACGTATGAGTTCCCATATGATGAACTGGCAATTCCATTCTCAAGAATTCAATCCCAGGCATAGATCCAATAGAAATAAAAACATGCTGGCACAAAAATTGTATATGAATGTTCATGTGCTGTCAGTTAACCAGCAGTTTTCTTCCTTTAGCTATACATTTTTATTGTGTGGTTTCCCCTCAATGAAAAATTTCTCCAAATATGTAAACAGGGCTGGCTGTATATTTTCAGAAACGTAAAGCTTTGTTTTGCTTTCTTTAAACTGGAAGATTGCTGCTAAAAAGGGGACGTGTGCTGAACTACCATCCTGGAAAGAGTGGCAAAATAACTGTACCATAAAAAGCCGAAACTAGACAGTAATCACTGGGCTTATGCGATAAATGCTTTGTCTCTGCTAAACCACCAAATTGGGTAGGAACTTCAGACCAAATCCACTACCATTGAGTCAATTTCCATTCACAGCAAGAACTGCCCCTGTGGGTTTCTCAGGCTCTTGTAGGAGCAAAACATCTTTCTCTCTTGGAGCACCTGGTGCGTTTGAACTCTACTGACCTTGTGATTAGCAGCCCAATATGTAACCCACTACACCATCAAGGTTCATTTGACTTTATCCTTATACCATTTATTTTATATCCTATCTTTAGGATCATTATGCACATATATGCTTAATAATCCACTACTAACCAAAAGTGTGCTGATCTGATTCCATAAAGATAACAGCCAAGAAAATCCCAGAATCTGCATTAGCAATGGGCTTTAGGTTATTGGGTATAAAGCTAGATGAATCAGTACTAACAAGCTATCTTAATTTTTTCCCCTTCAGTCTTTCCATTTACAGCCCACTGGCACCCCAGGCACTTACCTACTTCAGACAGGCTCGAGCCAAGGCCTTCCTCTCACTCTGACCGCCAGTCCCACTGTAACCCTGACGGCCACTGCTCCTGCTTCTCCTGAACAGATCATCGTTCATGCTTTATCTGTATGTTGCGTTACATAAATTCCTTGATATTTCTGGTTTATGTAGCTAATTGGCTAACTATTAAGTGCCATTGGTGGACTTTTTTGGGGGGGGGGGGAGAAATTGCGCTGTGATGTGCCATCAGTAATAACAGTAGCTTCAAGAGAAAAGCCTATTTTGATATCAGCTCAAATATTTGAATGCTTGTTAGGGACCAGGGTTAGCTGATCCAAAATTATAAGGTAATTTAATAAATTTTCCTACTGCTGTTCCAGAAAGTTTTGCACTTCTGCCTTCAGTGGTGTGCATCCTTCATTCCGGGGTCTTCTTACAGGAGATGAAGTTGCATTTGAGAAATGGGTACATTAGGAAAGCAAGGTTCTCAGTGGGTAAAGAACCAGGGTTATAGAAAAAGTGGTAACAGTACAGACTCTTCCAGTAGGTACTTTTTAACTTTGTCATCAATGTCTTATAGCCAGAACATTTGTTGAACACAAGTGACAATGTCACCGTGCAGTGTCACACACCAAGAGTCATCATTCAAACTGTTGCCACAGAGGACATCACTTCTTCCATATCCCAAGCAGAACTGGCAGTGGACAGTGATATTCAGTCAGCTGATTTTCCAGAGCCTCCAGATGCTCTAGAAGCCGACACTTTCCCAGGTGAAATCCATCACCCTAAGATGATTGTAGAACCATCATTTAATGATGCTCATATGTCCAAATTCAGTGACCAAAATAGCACAGAACTGATGAACAGTGTTATGGTCAGAACAGAAGAAGAAATTGACACCACCCTTAAACAAGAGGAGGAATCACCCTCTAATTTAGCCAGTGCTTATGTTACTGAGGTAAGTTGCACTTGAGATAACTTTGTTCTAATGGGTTCCTGTCTTGATCCTCAAATCTACAGTTTGCAGAAAAGTCTCGAAATAATCCACCTTCCATCTGTCTTAAGACCCGCAAAATAAATGCCAGTCTCTACCTCAGAACTCCTAAGTTTCAGGCATTCAGCAGTAGTATTGCCAGCAAATAAGGGTATGCAAAGATAACCTTTTCCCTCTACTTCCAAAAGATTAAGAAATTAATGAGAGTGGTTAATAAAAAGCTACATAGCTTCTTCATGTTTTGGCTTAGAAACTTTGCCTTATAGTATAACAGCATTGTTTTATTAAATGTCCTATCATTAAGTTGGTTTTCAGTTTGGTGCACTAGACTATAAAGTTGTTAAGATTACTTTTGTCTAGTTTTTAACCTTTCATTTTTTTATATTTTAATTTAAAAATAGGATAATGTTTGAGCATTAAGTTATATCAAACAGAAGTGTTTGGAATACAAATCAGGGTCTTTTTTGTTGTTGTTATTTTGTATCTGCTCTAGGGTTTAGTATCTTCTGCCATAGAGCAACAAGTTGATCAAGCAATCGATGATGAAACAATACTTATCGTACCTTCACCACATGGCTTCATCCAGGCATCTGATGTGATAGATTCTGTCTTGCCTTTGACAGCATTAACAGGTACTGTAACACAGCTTATATCAAGTGCCTGATAAAGCTAAATCAGGCATTTTAGTTCAGTTGTTTTAGTCGATCTTGATTCAACAGTGAGTATGATAGTCTCCTGCATTTTAGTAGAAGATAGCGTATTTAAATTTTTTGACATAGAAGCTTCATACATATATTAGGCTAACTTGTACCTTCAATTACTACAGATTCCATATTCCAACACCACCGAGAAGAGCCACATATCATTGGATCATCTCTGTGCAGTCCCATTTCAGAAGACTCAAAGGACGTTGAGGACTTGGTAAACTGTCACTAGGTAACGCTTAGAAACAGGGTAGTTTAAAGAAGTCACACTTAATTACATCTCCAAAGAAATAGGAGCAACGCTCGGCTTAATTTACCATTCCTCTGGCTTTTTCAGTACGACAGTGCTGAAACCACGTACAGTGTTGCTGCTATGACTTTAGCTCCTTTAAGTTATCATCTGAGGCCCAGTTTTTTAACTGCAGTTTTGGATTATGGGGGTTTTTAACTGCATAAATCTCTATGTTTAGTGTTAGTCAGTGAGGAATTTCATTCACTTCAGCTCCTGCAAACAGTTTTTAAAAGCACCAAAACCTAACTACTCGGATTGAAGACCAGGAGCCATGCTCTCTAGAGAAAAGACGTGACTCTCTCCAGGGTCACATGGGCTTGGTTATAATCCAGAGATGGATCATTGCCTTTGAGAAGAGGCGAGGCCACCATACAGTGGTCAAACAGTACTGTAAGCAGTAACTCTGGATTTACCCATTGCAGGCAGTGGAAGTGATTTAGTCAGGATAAATAGGGTAGCATTAAAACAGATTATGAAAAGTCACTACAGGTTTCTTGTTTGTTTTGAGTTAATTACGTGGAGAGTAGTAAAACCTACCTGAAGTTAAAGCAGAGGGTTTTTTTACCCCCCTCAGAAAACCACTGTTAACAGTTTACAAAGTTAGCACTTTTAAGTTTACTATAAACTTACAAATGACAAAGGTGGTTAATGTTGCCTACATATTTTTGCTACACATAATTACCCAGAAAATGAGGAGGATTATAGCGTGCCATTCATTCAATCCATTAGCTGGTGGGGTACAATATAACTTCTCCTCAGGTAATTTAAAACAAAACTGAACAAAATTCGCTTCTGTAATGAAACAAATCAAGAGTCATTCCTATACTACAGAAAGTTTAGCCAAAACTATCTTCTATAGAAAAGTCACAAAAATCCTTGTATAAATTATTTTTATTTATTATTGTAATTAGATCATCACAATCAAAGTTGTCTTTTTACCATCTGTGTTACGTGAAATAAAATTGTAGTTATAAGCAAAAGTTGGTTGCATAGGGAACAATTGTATATTCCATTGAACAGAAATAAAAGAATTATTTGTTTTAAAATGCAGGATTTTGTTTGCTACATAGCCTTTTCACCATGCAATTACATTATAAAAATTTTAATTTCAAAAGTGAAAATTGCTTGTGCTGTTGGAACTTTAAAGAGTTGGAATGTCTAAGCTTCTTAAAGAAAAAGCAAAGTGGTCTATGATATATGTGTTCCCTGCAAGAGGGAATTTAGATTTAGTTGCATGAAAATCATGTACCAGACACCTTACCCAGTACCCGTCACAGCCTCAACTGACAGCTTTTGAAGAGTCCTGGTAAGTGTTTGTCTCACTTCCCCACATCATGGAAGTACAGATTTGCACATATACATAACATGATGATAGAAAATAAGACATAGTAAATTAGATTTCTAAATTTCGGTTCTAAATCTCCTTGTCGATACCAGTAGATCTAAAAGAAGAAGAAGAAGAATTTAAAATTTTCAGTAATAGTCACTCACTGACCCAAATATTAAATTTTTAACACAACATTTTCCATTGTGACCTATTTCTTCAGTAAATTATCTCTTCACTTGGTAACTACATTTGTTATGTTAACCAACACTTTGTGCTTAAAATGGTATAATATAAAAAAAAACTACGTTTGTGGATTAGCTAAAGTACATCTAGCAGTAATGATGGAAGAAAGTTTAGGCTTTGTCCTACAGGGTTGTTGACTCAACAACAGTGTTTCTAAGGCAGTAGTGAAAGCCACAGTGCTAGGTGAGAGTAGTACCAGTTGTAAGTTAGGGGCCAACATGGCTCATTTATGACTCAGTGGTTGGCAGTTAGTCATCTGCCAATTTTGCATAATGACCTGGTCTTTATAGTCAAACCATGTCAACAAATGAGGAGTGGGTATACATACTTTCCCCCTAAGTGAAATAGCCAATTTGATTCTTTTAAATCACTTAAGTAGTACCACTGAGTTTCCATTTCCAAGTTTGTACTTCTTTCTGCTTTCTCAGTTTACTCCTATTCTCCAGGTGCAGACCTGTCCACTTATCAGTCATATAGCAGGGGTAAATTTTACCCAGGAATACCGTATATACTCCAGTATAAGCCAACCCGAGTATCAGCAGAGGCATCAAATCTTACCACAAAAACTGCATTAAAAATGTGCTGGAAAAGCTCAGTTTATACACCAGGATATACAGTACATACCTTCTGGATATATTTGATATAATTTAAATAAAAGGTACAACCAGTTTGGGTGCTGGGAGACAATATTTAAAATAGTTTATATAATCCAAATGGGTTTAAACTAGCATCACTGTTAGTCACTTAGAGCGATTAAATTTAGAGATAAGCAAATATATCTATTTAAAAAAACTATCAAAGATTTTGTTCTGCCTTTCCTTAAGAGAAATAGCCATATAATACATGAACGACTTCAATTAGCCTCTGTGTAATGACAAGGATTCTAGGGTAGTGTTAATTATCCTTAGGGTAAGTTTTTCTTTAATAGGTTTTATCTGCCTTTCCCAAGGCATACTAGGCCATCAGTATATACATAGTCATTAAATGAGGCTGAATTGTGTTTAAATCATCTTAGTGTTTTGGTTCTTTTTTTTCCTCCCAAGGCATCAAGTGAAGTTATGCCTAAGGCAGGGGCCCTTAAACTTTTTAAACGGGGCCAGTTCACTGTCCCATAGACCCGTTGGAGAGCCGGACTATAGTTTAAAAAAAAAAAACTATTCCTATGCACACTGCACATATCTTATTTTGAAGTAAAAAAACAAACAGGGAAAAACACCCGGCGGGCCAGGTTAGTGTCCTTGGAGGGCCACATGTGGCCAGCAGGCCGTAGTTTGAGGACGCCTGGCCTAAGGGTTACAAATTAAAGGAGTTGGGGCAAAAGAAATGACACAGGTTTCTAAAAACAATTGAAGAATTTTGAGAGTCACCTCCTTTAAAGAGACCTAGGGCATGCTGGAATAGATTCAATGACAGTGACTTTTTTTGATCTATAGTTTGAGACCAGGTCTGGGAATCTGTTCTAAGCACATGCAACTTGAAGCTTTCGAGGGTACTCAAATTCTAAATAATACTCACAAGTATGCAGGCAGTAATGCTACTCAAAGAGATGCAGACAGCAAAAAATATATTCAGTGGTTTTGGAGGTAGATGAGGGAACACAAAAGCACTGATCAGCGTTACCTATATAGAGAGAGATTATAATAAAGCCTTAAGACTAATTCTAAGACTTGGTATAATCTGTAAGTACTAAATAATGCTTCACATTGTAAAGTACTTCTACCACAAGGTTGCTTTCTAGAGTGTTAATAAAAGAATACGTTAAAAATGGTTTGAATATTTCCTTTAATACTTCCTTCCATTCCAAGCTTTCCTTGTTTGCAAAAAAAAAAGTCACAGCAGTAAAACTAACCTTCAAATAACTTCCTCACTGACAAGATTGGAAGTTGTGCTTACACTGGGAAAAGTTCTATGATTGCTACTAAAGAATAACAGGACCAAAGTAGATTTTGCAAAAGCTGAAAAATGCTGAAAGAATTGTTTTTCATATCCTAATAGCTCTCTCTGGACATTAGTTGAATTGTACTCACTTTAAAAAGTTCATGAAAATACGCCAAGCAATTGTGGTTCTCAGTAAAAATAATTTTGTAATCTTGAAATGTGGCTAAAAGATCATTCTTTAGGAGTAAAGGACGTAGCAGAAATGAGGGGGGAAATGGAGGCTTGAGTTAGTTGGACTGACAGAAGGGGGCACACTTCTACATATTTACTAAGGAAGCAAATGTGGCTAACTCAAGCCATCTAAAAACCAAGCTGCCTGCTTGTATTATTTATTGGTAGTTCAAATGGTAATTAAATTAGCCACTCTGATTAAAATTTTAAGCGGTAATTTAAAAAAATATTGCTGTAAACTATTGAACACTCCACATGATCTTTCTTGGCCCATTTATTTCATTAATTTGTTTTTTAATCATTTTATTGGGGACTCATACAACTCTTTTCACAATCCATACATACATCAATTGTATAAAGCACATTTGTATGTTCGTTACCCTCATCATTCTCAAAACATATGCTCTCCACATAAGCCCCTGGCATCAGCTCATTTTCACTCCTCCCTCCCCACCCCCACCCCCCCCACAAACCCTTGATCCTTGATAATTTATAAATTTGTCATATCTTACACCATCCAACGTCTCCCTTCACCCACTTCTCTATTGTCCATCCCCCAGAGAGGAGGATATACGTAGGTCCCTGTAATCAGTTCCCCCTTTCTACTCCACCCTCCCTAATTTTCAGTTTTTAATATTTAAGTTAGAGTCTGGAGAAACAAAATAAAGATACTTACTAGAATCAGTAAGGATGTTAAACTGCCGACAATTAAATTGATGATTCGATCCTGGAAGAAAAAATAGTTTTTAAGCTATAACATCTATGGTACTTTGAGTAGTGCCATGCTAGGTAGGCACCTTTTGATTTAGAATAAACCAGCCATCTGTAGCTGTGTACATACAAATGCCAGACAAAAGCACACAAAGCCACAAGAGTGACAATGATACTTTGAGAAGGCCAACAGCAAACAGTGAAGGTTTCTTGAAGGGGTAGGACATTTATACTAAGGGTTGAAGGCGGATCATTTTTGAATGGTGAAGGGTGACTTAAAAGGACTGTGCCACTAGGAATAGTATAGGGGCTGCACTGGTGACAATGTTGGGCATGTTACGACTGCTACCAGCAAGGGAGAGTTCAAGAAAGATGAAACTTACCTGCTCCTGTAAAAACACAGCCTTGGAAACCTTACATAGGGTGGCTATGAATCAGAAACAACTTGATGAGGGCAGGCATAGTATGTACAGGGGCAAAAAGACTGGGTGAACCAAGCCATCGCCTTGGTGGGAAATATCAGGAGCCAGACGTCGAGGATTTTTAACATACTACGTATGATACAAGAAGCCCTGGTGGCACCATCAAGCCTTGGACTGCTAATCACAAGATTGATAGTTCACACCCACTAGGATCTCCGCTACAGAAAAATGAGGCTATATGCTCATACAAAGATCTGTAAAGCCTCAGAAACCCTATGCGGGGTTGGTGTGAGTTGAAATCGGATAGCAGTGGATTTTGATTGGGTATGATTCAGGGGAACACCTCACGCTGAACAACAAAAAATTGAAGGGAACTATGGGCAAACTATTGAATGATGCTGAGAATATCTAAAGGTGGTGGAAGGAATACCAGTCACTACACCACCAAGAACTGGTTGATGTTCACTTCAGGAAACAGCCTGTGATTAAGCACCAATGGTATTGGAGGAAGAAGTCCAGGCAACAGTGCATTGGTGAAAAGGCTCCAGGAGTTGACATTCCCAATTGAAATGTTCAAATAAACGGCTACCGTGCTAGCGGTGCTTATTGATCCGTGCCATTAAATCTGGAGGACCGCTACCTGGCTTATTGACTAGAAGAAATGCATATTCATGCATATTCCAAAGGTGATTAAAAAGAACGCAGACATTTCAAAAGCAGTGTATACCTATTTACTTAATAGGTATAAGTAAAATTTCAGATATTAAAATGGTTGCAATAGAACATCAACAGCTACTTGAAATAAGGGGGTGCTCAAAAAACCCAATCCCCCCCTCTAATAAAAAGCTGTGTATTCAAAGTTTTTTTTTCCAAAACAGTATCACCTTCAAAGTACTCTCCCAAAAAAATGGAGATAAAGTACTTTCCATTACATTAATACATTTGTCAAATCTGCAATTCCATTCTTGGAAACATTTTTCAAACTCATCTGTTGGGATGGCTGATAGCTCCTCGTTTTTTTGCCTCACCTCTTTTGCATCAGCAAATTGCTGCCCTTTCATGTCCCTCTTCTCGGAAACAAGTCCCAAGTTGCACAGGTGAATAAGGTATGTGGAGCAAGAGAGACACTGTTTTGGTTTTCTGCCCAAAACTGGTGCACTGAGATGTCTGCGTGAGCAGGTACATTATTGTGGTGGCAAAACCAGTCCCCCAACTGCCACAAATCAGGTTTTTGTCGCACAGTTAAACAACCTTTCCCAGAACCTCTAAATAGAAAGCTTGATTGACATTCGGACCTGGTGGAATCAACTCACATGCACTTATGAGTCAACATTTTCATCTCTTCAGGAAGTTGACATCCAGGACGAGGTTTGCTATCAATCGGCATTTCAACTTTTTAAAAATGAAAACCAATACACAAGTTTACCCCACAGCACTGTCCTTGTAAGCTGTGTTCAATCTCTTAAGTCAGCCATTACAAAAAAGTTGCAAGCAAAACTGTTTTCAGGAAAAACTTCACTTGTAACCAGAGAGCCTTCCCAGGCAACACCACTGAGTGCACTAACTCAAGTTGCTCATAGTGGAATGAAAGTGCTGCTTCACCCAGCACAATTCTGGGCTTTGGGGGTACCCCCTCATATGTTTACCTGTATTTAACTGATTATGCAATGAAATGGAACTGTGTGGGCCATTACAAATGATGTTGCAGAGAATTCCAGAACACTTGACTGCTTATGCAGAACCTGTACATATACCACGAGGCAATCAACCATTCAAACAGGGAGTGAGTACTATATGATTTAAAAGTCAAAAAATGGATAGGTCTGGATTATAGCTTTCACTAAATATGCTGAACAAATCATCCCTGAAACTGGGCTATCTGAAAAATATATGGTATGTAGCACCAGGAATAGAGACTAAGCCTGAGATGTATGTAGCCTTGCTCAGTGAAAGCTAAGAGGCACTTACTGATACAGATTAATACCTCAACATTAAAAAGCAAAAATCTTTACCAATAAGCAACACCGTGATAAATGGAGAAAAGACTGAAGTTGTCAAGAAATTCAATTTGGGGGTGGGATGGGGCAGGGCGGAAGGAAAAAAAAAATTCAATTTACTTGGATTCTCAACACTCATGGTAGCAGGAGTCAAGAAATGAACATTACAAGGTATTTCATTGACGAATCTGCTGTAAAAGATCTCGAAGTATTAAAAAGCAGTCATCAAAAAGAGTTGTCTTTGAAGGTTAAGTAAGGTGTGCTGACCCAAGCAATCCTACATTCAATCATCTTACATGCATTCAAAAGCTAGATAAAAAAGATTGAAGACAGTACCTTTGAACTATAGTGTTGGCAAAAAATATTAAATATACTGTGGCCTAGCAGAATAGATCTTAGGAAATTACATCCAGAATTCTAGAAGTGAGATAGAGGGGACCTGTCCCTGAAGAAAGGATATGCTTGGTGACGAGAGGGTCAGCAATTGACAAGAGTGGCTCCACAAAGGGCTCAAACGAAATGATGGTGAGGTTGGCACCAGACCAGGCAGTTTCATTAACTCAGGGTTCAGTATAGCAATAATGAAACTCACAACCTTCCTCTAGTTCTTAAATACTTCCTCCCCCCAACTACCATAATCCCAATTCTACCTTGCAAACCTGGTTAGACCAGATGATGCACAGCGGTACAGATGGGAACTGGAAACACAGGGAATCTAAGACAGATGAACCCCTCAGGACCACGGGTGGCAGTGGCAATACCGGGAGTGAAGTGGAGCGGGTAGAAAGGGGGAATCGATCACAAGGATCTACATATAACCTCCTCTCTGGGGGATGGACAACAGAAGGGTGGGTGAAGGGAGACGCCGGGCAGTGTAAGATATAATAATTTATAAATTATTAAGGGTTCATGAGGAAGTGGGGAGGGAGGGGGAGGGGAAAAAGGAAAATGAGCTAATTCCAGGAACCCAAGCGGAAAGCAAAGTTTGAGAATGATGAGGGCAACAAATGTGCTTTACACAATTGATGTATGTATGGATTGTGGTGAACTGTATGAGCCCCAATAAAATGATTAAAAAAACAAAACATGATGTTATAGCACTCTTTGGGGCACTCAGATAATGCTTCAGTGCATTTGGAGAGGAAACACGTGTGAAAGAGCAAGAGCAGCGCTGTAGGGTGAGCGGGCTCAGGGTTCCTAACAGTGTCCGAGCCCTTGCTGTCTGCGAAGTATAAGCCAAGTGCATTGTGATGGGAAACAAATTTCTTTACAGGAGCAGACAGCCTTAACTTTCTCCCACGGAGCACCTGGTGGGTTTGAACCACTGACCTTGCAGTTGCCAGGCGAATCCCTGACCCGCTGCACCACCCGGACCTCCTGGGAAACAAATTTCTTAGTGCAATTTTCCTGGCCTTGTTCTCACCAATGCGGTTTTCAGTTTTCAAAAACCTTCACAATAAGCCCTAATACCCATCCTGAGGCCTCGGAAAAACTGACCATCTGACCCCTCTAGGATGCTAACAAAGTCACCAAAGCCAGAGCTGGCCTGCCTTGAGTTTCACTGGCCCAGTGTCGCCCCTCAGAAGCCAGTACTTTAAGTGGGCCTTTTTTCCTTAGGCACCCTAAGGAGACCGAGACGTGGAGTACTTAGAGCACTTGTCTCCAGCAATCCACTAATTGGAACCCATGCTTCTATGAACTGGAACCTGCATAGCAATACTTTTTTCCCCTCAACAGTTTCATTGGCATATAATTCAGATATCTCATACAATTCAATAGTTAGATCAAGATGAGTTGTACAGCACAGCAGTACTTCGTGACCTGCCCTCAGTTTTCCTTTTCCTTAATCTCACTAGAAAATCTCACGCAGTGAAAGCGCTGAGCCTGGCCCAGTCCGAGCCTAAGGGGGACACTTCTAAGAACATGTTGAGAAGATGTAAAATGTAAGACCCAGCTGAAGCCAGAAACCTACCCAGGGCTACATGGTTTTGCCTAAGGAGAACTCACCCTACCGCACTCACCACTGACAACCACAAGGGAAACATCTCCATCAGTGCTAAGCGAAAAGGGGGCATCTGCTTCACTGCCTAATACCAGGGTGCAGCGAACTCTGACCACAGGTACGAACAACTGTTCTGAGACTTCCAGAAGAAGCGGTGGACTTTGAAATGGTTCCAAGCACAGAGGATGAGTGAGAAGGGATTTATAAGAATGCAGGCACACCTATACTTTATAACTCTCCGACTGAACTTTCTCTCAAATGTAAACCTCAACTGCTATGTGTGGTTCTGACCAACAGATTTGATTATTTTTTTATCTGGAGAAAACAATAGACATTTTTAACTCTTCCCCATTATTTCATTTTGAAGCTTAGTTGTGGATATTTTTGTACACCATCTTACCCTATTCTCCTTTTACAGATATGTGCTTGAAATATATGTTTTAATTGAAGCACCACTTGTGGGAACCGGCTCGGAGAAAACAGACCTATTATTATATCACCTTACCCATGTACAATTTGCCTCTGCTGAAGCTTGGTGGGGAGAAGGGAGGGAAAGAGTGAGCGCTTGATTTGCATGAGAACCACCATTTCCTGT